GAACAATACAAGGAGAGACAAGAAACTTGAACTGACCAAAGTGTGTAGAGGGAGAAGGTAACATTAAAAATATCCCTTTTAAAAATTTATGTTAAAATCCACTATTGTTTTAAACAGAATTGTTCTATAGTCTATGCAGTATTTAATGCAATTACATCAGATTTTACTTTAAATTACAGAAGAATTAAGAGTAATCCCTTTAAATGAATTACAGTATTTAGATTACTTGGTAATTAATTACACCCAACACTGTATAACAGTAATTAAAATGTAAACTTAAGCATTGACTCGAGCAACTATTTTCTCCCAAGCTAAAACCATAGACAGTAGAAGAAGTGGACAGAGCCATCTCATTGGAACTCAGTTGAGACAGTTGAAGCCCATTTTTAGCGATTTTTGAGCACTTCCGTTTCATGACGCGCAGACTCAAACCGACTCAAACTAAGCTTGATGACGTGAGCAACCTGTCTGACAGACGTTAATCTTCTAGTAGCAGTGCGTGAAAATTGCCAACGTTAATCTTGCAGAGACGGGGAACTTGAGCAAAGAGTTCTTTGGCGTGAGTGAGCAGGAGTAAGTATTCCGTTGCTTTTATGGACTCATTATCTATGGGCTTCTCCCTTGACGGGAAATCCCCCTGATTGCCTGCGAGCTTCTCCTCCTGTCTGTACGGTCATTTCTGTACAGCGCGACAGAAGTCGAGTGGTTATGACGCAATCGTTGGCCTATTTTTACAAAATCTGTTTCTACGGGGCCATAATGTAACATAGAAGGTAATGGAGCCCTTTATATATTGTCGTGTTTCTTTAGAAATAAATAATGGACAAATGGAGTCTTTAAACGCCTCAGATGTAAAGTTATTCGCTGTCAAAGTGACGCCAAAATGAATGGGAGTCAATGGAAATGCTAACGCAAGTGAAGTTCTGCTACAACATGGCGGCACCCGGCCGGCTTCAACTTCCGGTTGATGGATTACCCCCTTGGCTAAAACAGATCTGCTGGTGAGAAATATGCAGACCTCTTTTTCTCTGGCGCTGTTGCCATGGTGACTCATAATATCTGCGCTCCATTGATAATGGCTTTTTATAGTTGTGGTGCACGCGCTTAACTCAGAGTCAGTCAACTTAGAGTTGATTGAACTAACTCATTTCAGCTGTTCTGTAACCGAAAACCCAGAGTTTCCCATCTCAGGGTAAGTCAACTCAGGGTTCAAGTTTTAACTCAGAGTTGGTTGAACCTCCTTATTGAAACAGGCCCCAGATCTCCACCGTGCGTTCCTTGCAACCGTTGGTGAGAGTACTATAATGACAATATAGAAGTCAATTATTTAGCATTGATTTGTGTCAGTAAGGCACAATCCAAAACAAAACTAATTTATATATAAGAAAGGCATGTTTGTACTGAAAAAAATGGCATATATATATATATATATATATATATATATATATATACACCATGTATATTCTGAATCATATATATATACAGTATATATATATATATATATATATATATATATATAGCATGTATACTCTGAATTATAAACATATAAATATAGGCTATTATAAATATTAAAAATAAGAACTCAGTGATATTTTTACACTATATATCTTGAATTTTGGGAGCATTTTAGTTAATTTCGTTGGCATTTTTTCTCCAAGCCCCTGTTAATTTTCCGACCTGCTGAGTGCGCAGCGTGATGGAGGGGGGCGGTGCTCTTTTTCAAACTGAAGAGGAGGCCCGTTTCAAGTGAAAAGGGTGAAACTTGAAAGGCTGCTGCTACTGACATTTAAAACATGCTTAAGATGGATTGCGGGTGGTTAAAGTACAGCATACAAAGTGACATAATAGTGAATTTACCCTTCAGACTCTGAAGTTCTTTTCTTGTTGATTTAGAAGTTCCAGAATCTGAAGTTGGAGAACAAGATGTGTTTTTAGCTGAAAGAGTTTTGCACTCCTTGCTCTAACTCTCACCATTTTTTTTACAGAAAAGTTTTAATAAAAGCATTGATTGAGCAGTCGATGTACCCTTGAAAGTGAGAAAAATTAGGAATTGCAGACTTTGCAGATTGAGATGCTTCTCTGGAGATTTTCTAGAGAGACAAACAAGCCCTTGATTGTACAGTATGTGTGTGTGTGTGTGTGTGTGTGTGTGTGTGTGTGTGTGAGAGAGAGAGAGAGAGAGAGAGAGAGAGAGAGAGAGAGAGAGAGAGAGAGAGAGAGAGAGAGAGAGAGAGAGAGAGAGAGAGAGAGAGAGAGAGAGATGCCTTGATGATGGTAGTGCTGTACTGAAGGATAATTGTGGTGTCATGAGGATGAAGGATGGGCATACGTTGAGATGCAGTGCTCATTCATTCATTCACTCTTCCTCTCAGAGATATACCTCTATTCAGCACCTATATGGAATCACTTTCCATTTTAAAACCTCCTCGATAAGCCTTTTTCACACTTCCGGGTTTTGTGTTTCCGGTGCTCACCGACGCCGGGTAAACTTACTTCCGGTGACAACAACAATGGCCGAGTCCAAGAATAAGTGTTCCTGTAGTGTCCCTCAGTGCAGCAATTCTACAACCTTATTTATCTTTTCACGGGTATCCTTTGAATGAAGACCAAAAAAAGAAATGGGTTATCGCTATTAGACGGAACGAAGGGTCTACGTTCGTCATTCGGAGAGGCAGCACGTATGTCTGCAGTCAGCATTTTACCGCTGTCGACTACATTCCAGGAAGTTCGCGGCTGAAGGTTGGTGCCATTCCCAGTCGTTTCCCTTGGAACAATTTCTATGTACCCCCTCAAAGGCTGTCAGCTTTTGAGAGATCTGCTGTTCGACTTGGCGTGGATGTACGTGTTCAGGAGCAACCGGTGGTCTCAGAGGATGCACCCAATGAATCCAGTCATGTTGAGGAACATGACTACGCGGCACGCCCACCTGCCGGTAAGCACTTATGTTAACTTTTGCTTGTGTGATAACAGTGTAGAATGTGCTGTGACGTGAAATACAAAACAAAAAACAGCATAATTAGTTGCTAACTATATTATTTACATTTTTATAGGGGCATTAGATGAGGCTCTGCAGTACATTGAAGAGCTGGAGGCTAGGCTGCAGAAAATGTCACTAGAGAAACAAGCAATAATGAGCAGATTTTGTGTTTCTGATCACACAATCAAATACTACACAAAGTTTCCCTCACAGGAAGTTTTCCAGGTGTTCTGGGAGTCTGTTTGTCCATCTGCCAGCAATCTTGTGTACTGGACTAAGGCACAGAGGATGGGACAGGAAGCATCCCCAAGCCCTAGCCCTGCACGGAAGATCCAGCTCATAGATGAACTGTTCATGTATTCCTGTCGAGTAGCTGCTGGACTGAGGGAACAAGTAATCGCTGACATTTTTGGGGTAAGCGTGGCCACAGTGAGTAGGGCCATTATCACCTGGGCTAACTACCTGTTCTTTGTGTTGGGTTCAGTACCAATTTGGATGTCCAAGCAACAAATATGCTTCTCCATGCCAAAGAAGTACAGTTTGTTCTGTCCAAACCTGCGAGTCATCCTGGATTGCACAGAAATCCGCTGTGAAAGCCCCACATCTCTGACACTCCACTCAGAGATCTTCTCCAGCTACAAGAGCACTACAACATTTAAAGGTCTGGTTGGAGTAGCTCCATGTGGTGCAATGACTTTCATCTCCCAGCTTTACACAGGTTCAATCTCCGACAAAGAGATCACAAAGAAGTCTGGCATTTTGGACCTGCTTGAACCTGGAGATGAGGTCATGGCAGACAAGGGGTTCACAATCGAGGATATGCTCTCCAGTGTTGGTGCTAGACTGATCATTCCACCTTTCAAACATGCTAAGCAGTTCAGCAAACAGGACTGTGAAAAAACACAGGCCATTGCACGCCTCAGAATTCTGGTGGAAAGGGTAATTCGAAGGGTCAAGGAAAACCACATTTGGGATTCTGTTGTGCCACTCACCTTGTCAGGAAGCATCAATCAGATCTGGCATAATTGCTGTTTTATGGTTAATTACCAGGGGCCGATGTTTCTTGAGGAGTGAATGTACAGTATACAAGTATATATGTATAATATAATAAATATTAGATATTTACAATGACAGTGTGATTGATTTTTACAATAGTAGTGACAGACTTTCAATATTTTACATTAAATATCTTGTTTTTACTTTTTTGTTTACTTTGTACTGTGACATTTGATCAAATGTATATTGTCATTATTTATACTAAGTTTCCTGAAAGTAATTTGACAGATGCATTGAAATAGTTGACAAAATGCATTTAATAAGAATCAATAAAAACAAAATTGTAAACTGAGTTCTGCTGTTCATTGTTATTTCACACAATACAAATACATAAACAATTAGTAAATGTGTATGCATACATATCATATATATTACACAATATCAAATTCAAAATATAATAATGTATTAACTATTAGGCTATGTACATAAATGTGGGTATACTGTATATGTAACGCATGTTATAAACATGAAGGAGCTTTTATGCATGTTTATGATAACTGTCATTAAGTGTCATTCGCTCAATTATGACATTTTTAATGCAAATATGACATTGAGATGTCTTTGTTATGACAACTTGACATAAACCATAACATCATAACCTGTCAGTGTCTTTGTCATGACAACTTGACATTAAATTAAGTTAAACTGTCATGTGGCTGGTTTTGACATTGGCTGTCATGAGGCATTATAACTGTGCCATTAATATTTTTTGTGACCTCAACTACAGTGGTACACATTGAATTTGTCATTAAAAAGTTATAATGGCTTCATGACAGCCAATGTCAAAACCAACCACCTGACAGTTTAATGTAAATTAATGGTTATGATGTATTGATTTGTCAAGTTGTCATAAAGACATCTCAAACAATGTCATATTTGCATTAAAAATGTCATAATTGAGTGAATGACACTTAATGACAGTTGTCACAAACATGCATAAAACCTCCTTCATATTCATATATGAAGGAGTCATGTCAGTCTTACGCACACCCATTCAAGTAAAGTGTTACCGTACATTTATACCACTGAAAGATACACATCCATGTAAACATAATAATAGTACATGTCTAGCTTGTCTTTCATTGATGCTATGAAGGCATCATCTCGCCAGATCCTCTGTATTGTGAAATCTGATTTTGTGTCAGTCACAAAGTCACACCACTGTAGACCAGTCACTGCAAGCTGGCCTTGAACCTGCCAGTAGTACTTGTGGGTCTCTTTGAGTTTGGCTTGTCCTCTTTGAAGTTTGATAAATGGAACCTGGGCAATGTTATCAGCAGATGTGCTTTTTACTTCCACTAGTCCAAATTGGAAGGTTTCAGATGGATCATGCACTCGTCCATCTGGACTGGCTCCTAGATGTGGTGCTTCTGGGTTGATAATAAAACCACAAGGTAGGACACTAACACTGGCTATCTCAGAATATTTTCTCAAAATATCTGGCTCAAGTTCAAGGCCACGTTTCATAGCACTTGTCTGCCTCGTGCCCTTGATGATTCTTGCCGCTAATGACTGACCAGTTGAATCCCCAACTACATGACTAACCTCCCGGAACCTGCTTGCAGTAACCCTTGATTGCCGCATTTGTCTCCAAGCAGTACATTTTGACTGTAGTCTTGTGGCCTCTTCAATCTGACAAGCGGAATAATGGGTAACCTTTATAGACTCCAGATGAAGTGATTGATGGTGTGTGGGCACATATTTAAAATTACAACCAAACTGATAGCCAAGCACAGGTAGTGGGGGGAAATTAACAACAGGAATATCTACAGCTATAGGGGGACATTGGTATGAAAGTGGACTACCACGAGGTACAGGACCAAACTGTGAGGGGACCAACTCTATTTTTGACATGCCCTCTAGTATGTGTGCCAGCAAAGGCCGGGGATGGATCTGACTCAGTTTGGTACCAGAAGCCAATACATCAGAATCTGGAAGGGGACCTAAAGAAATTAATACAAACTATTAGTTTTGAACACATTAAGTTGTAGCTGAGTACACGACGTGTACACATACAGTGTTGTGTATTACCTGTGTAAGCCCTGTATAGAGTAGACTTGATTCCAGTCTTCCCAGCTGACTTTGGCTTCAGGACAACAAGTTCACTCACTGCCTCTGGATGGACTCCCTTAGCATAAAATAAACAGATGCAAAGTTAAAATATTCTCGAAACACTTTATAATAAGGTTTTATACATTTACATTAGTTTATGCATTTAGTCAATATGAAATAATGAGTAATAACAGTTAACAGATTGTATTAATCTTGGGTGATGTTCATTTATACCTTTGTTACTTAATCTGCACTCTTGTGCATTATTAGTCCATAATGCTTTGATGTTAACATGTAGCCTACTTACTTGCTTGAGTTGATACTATAGTGTTCTTACCATTTGCAGAAAAGAAAAAATACATGCCTGTGTTCTTGGACGATGCCATCTCTGTGGCTCACTCGTGCAGGCCAGTGGTGGTGGGACAGACTGTAAATTCAGCTGCACATAGTGGGCCGTCTGATACAGAAGTGCTGTCAGATGGTTGTGTGGCGATCGGCTTTCAGAGAACAGGTACACTAAATAATTAAACCAACTACGCCACCCTGGGGGCTCACTACCAGGGAATTGCCCTAGACACTTGGGAGCGCACAAGGCTCACAGGTTCGTTTCAGTTGGAGTCAGGCATGAGACATGGGTGAAAGGTACAAACAGTAAAATCAATTTTATTAAATAGAATGATTCAAGCAATCACAAAAAAAACCAACGTCAAAGATAGTCGATGTTAAACAGCCCGGACGACGGAATATTGGGGGTCGACAGCCGAAAGCACTCAACCCATAGGGGCCTCTCTATTCTCCTGAGAAAAGAAACAAAGAGAACCACACACACACGTGCACTCACACTGCACTCAGTCAAACACCTCCGTGTGGCACAGCAAGCACTCCAAAGACACCACCACCAAGATGAGGAGGGCTGCCGCCCCTTCTTTTCCTTGCCGCCCAGGCCTACAATGAAGAACACACAAACACATAAAACTCAGGCACCACAATACACAATTTACAAAGTAAATTATATATATATATATAAAAAAAGAAAAAAAGAAAAGTTACACAACCACAATCGCTGGGTCCAAATGCACAGTGTTATCTCAGAATAGTCAAACATGCATAACAAACATTCTCACAGATATATGCACCACTTATATTCAGGATACTCCTAGAGAATCCAGTTGGATAACCACATCTGGAACAAAGTAAGAAACATACAGACCAGGTGCTGGTGTACATCGACGAGGCCACAAAAAGCGCACTTGAGTCCAAAAAAAAAAAGAAACCAACAAAAAAAAGAAAAGAAATTAACATTCACATGACACAGACATAAACAATACCACACAGAGTGACAGCTTAAATCAACAACTACTATAAACAGTGGTGACAGAGCAATGAGCATCAAAAGGTCCCACTAAGCACATCGTTACATTCTAGGCAACCCATGTCGAACCCAGGACAATGAAAGCATCCCCAGCAGTTACGGTTAGTGGTATCGTAATCAGGTGACGTCGTAGAGCCGTTTAAGGCTAACTTGCATAGCACCGCAGCGCCGTAGCGTCACAGTATCTATAAAAGCGAGTCAGAAGAATAGCAGTCACAGAATAAATTTGGAGTCAGACAGCAGCTTATGTTGGATCGGGATCTCAGTTTCCAGTGTCTCGTAGCTGACCACAGCAACAAACAACCCACCACAACGTTAAACAGGTATATGGAAGACACCTGAATCACAACAAGAGAAAAAAAGGAAACTCACCAGGCGAACTCGAGGTCGGAATGAGACATTAGATATAGAAGGTTGCAAACATACCTGAAACGCCGTCTTAACGCACCGCCGAACTCATCCACTTTACCGGAAGTTTCGCACTAGGAGCGCAGCCGAGTGTATACCGGTTAATTCCCCCGTCCACTACAACAAATGAGTCTATAATCACCCAGTCCCACAAGAATCATTAGCAAAAGAGTCGCTAACCTGCAGCTCTTACCTCTCTAGCTCTTGCACACCACACCGGAATGACAACCATGACATGACGTCACGTGTGATGCCCTCACAGCTGACGTGCACTAAGCATATTTAAAGTCCTCGTAACTAGCGTTAGATCACCCTCCAGCCGGGCGTCAATAGGTAGCGCAGATGCATACTGCTACAGTCTACCCCCTCAACCTCTCATCGTCGTCCCGACGGTGAAACAAATACCTAAAACTCCTCAGGGGACTTACTGCCATGGTCGAAACAAAGCCACAATGGCATGGGACCCTGATATTGGGATCTCAGCCACCCCAGGGTTCACCCTTCCAACTCCTCGTGGGAGGTGATACCTATTGGAATGTTCTCCAGCCCCCAAACGTCCCGTTCGACGTGGGACTGTAACATCAAGTGACGTCGGAGGTCCAACCAGTGGCAGCGATACTTGACTCGTATCCTGACCACCACTACCCTCCTCAAGCGGTATACTGGTGAAGGTGTCATCAGGTGGGGCAGCAGCAGTCAATACTCCCCCCACTAGAGTACCTGCCGTAGTCCATCCACGGGCCACTGGAGGAACTACAGGCACCACACAACCCAAATCGACATCCTCCAACTCTTCCTCGGCCACTATTTTAACTGGTGACTCTATCAAAAGGTCAGATAGTTCCCCAGACACTTCGTTACAAATCTGAGGTTTCAATAATGACCGGTGAACATGACGGATCTTACTCAGATCCTCCACCGGAGCCACTGTATAAACAGTGCCCCCAGCTTCTCGGGGTGCCCTTATGACTTGGTAGATAGTCGAACTCCATAAGTCCTGAATCTTGTGACGGCCCCGTACTGAATGATCACGAAGGTATACCCGTCGCCCCTCCTGCAACGGTAACTCCCGCACCCGCTGATCATGTGTCGCTTTACGCCGAGTAGCCGCCACCTTCAAACGGTCGCGAGCACCCTCAAATGCCACTTGTAACCGAGCCTGATGCTCCTCAACCCAATGATGCACCCCACCCGCAGCTGGCTCATGCACACTCCCCAGCAAGAAATCTATCGGCAATCTTGGCTCCTGTCCGAACATTAAAAAGTAAGGGCTCTCACCGGTGGCTTGATGGGGAGTTGTATTATAACAGAACAAGACCTGTGATAAACAGGACGCCCAGTCTCTCTTCCTTCCAGTATACAAGGTTCGTAGCAAGTTGTGTAAAGTACGATTGAATCGTTCGCACTGGCCATTACCGGCCGGATGGTAAGGAGTGCTGCGGGACTTGGTCACTTGGTAAAGACTACACAACTGCTGAATCAAGATGGCCTCAAAGTTGCGGCCCTGGTCGGAATGAATCCGGCCAGGAACCCCAAACTTAAAGAACCATTCCTCCACCAGAACTCGGGCAACAGTTTCTGCCCTCTGGTCGAAGGTAGGAATAGCCACAGTGAACTTACTGAAGACATCAGTTAGTACCAATACGTTCTCTTGCCCTGAACGTGACGGCTCCAAGACAGTAAAATCCATGGCCACAATTTCATTAGGCCGAGAAGCCAAAAGGTGCCCCATGAAACTTCGAGCAATCGGGGGAGCCGCCTTGGCCAACTGACACCGCTCGCATCTCTGGACCCAGTGAGCCACATCAGCGGCCAGGCCTGGCCAGTAGCATCGCTGTCGCACCAATTCCAAAGTGCGTTCAATGCCCTGGTGCCCATGCTGTTGATGGAGCTGTGTCAGTACCTCTGATCTCAAAACTCTTGACACCACTAACTGCAGTACTTCCTCTCCGCCATCTGGACGAAACACTCTTCGGTATAACAGGCCCTTTTCCTCCACCAGTCGGTCCCATTGCTGGAGAAAGGTTAACGTGGACTTGGACAACCGTCGTCGCTCGTTAGGCCCTGGACGGCGTTGCTGTCGCCATAAACGCCACACCTGCTCGATGTCGGGGTCCGCCTCCTGCAGTGCACTTATATCTGCACCGGAGCGGCTAGGCAAGGCCTGAATAGCCCCAGACTGAACCACCCCTATAGGTTCCGACTGTGCAGCTCGCCTCAACAGCTCTGGTACTACCAAACCTGGAGACCAGCCGTGTCCTCCCTCCTGGGTAGCAGAGTGCTGGCGGGACAACGCATCTGCGTTCTGATTGGTTCGGCCAGATCGATATTGGATCTCAAAATCGAACACCGCTAATTCAGCTGCCCACCGCTGCTCGGTAGCGCCAAGCTTAGCGGTGGCCAAATGGCTCAGCGGATTGTTATCAGTTCGTACTACACACTTGTTTCCTAAAAGGTACTCGCGAAACTTCTCAGTCATCGCCCACTTAAGGGCCACGAATTCCAATCGCATAGAACTATACGTGGCTGTATTACGTTCAGCAGGCCTAAGAGAACGGCTCGCATACGCGACAGGGCGAACCTTGCCATCCACTTCTTGCGAGAGTATCGCACCCAATCCCATATGGCTGGCATCCACCTCTACGATAAATGGTTTTGTAAAATCAGCATACGCTAACACGGGTACTGTTGTAAGCCGGTGTTTAAGGTTCTCAAACGCCTCCTCGCACTGCGCAGGCCAAACCTCGATACCTCCTCGCTTATTTTTCTTACCTGACTTCCCCCCAGTCGCTTCAGCTACCAATTTATGCAAGGGCGCCGCTAACTTCGCGAACCCTTCCACGAAGCGCCTATAATAGCTCACAAAGCCCAAAAAGGTCCGCAGCTCAGATACAGTGGATGGACGAGGCCATTGAGCTACAGCCTCAATCTTACCCGGGTCCGTCGCCACCCCCTGGGCAGAAATAACATGCCCCAGATATTTAACTTCTTCACGAAAGAACGCACACTTGTCCAATTTGGCCTTCAAATTCTCAGCCTGTAGACGACTCAGCACTACGCTCAACCGCTGCAGATGTTGCTGCACTGATGAAGAAAATACAATTATATCATCAAGATACAATAAAACTGTTTGATGTCTCTGATCCCCAAAAAGTCGCTCCATCAAGCGCTGAAATGTACTCGGGGCGTTGCACAGGCCAAAAGGCATGCGATTCCACTCAAAGAGCCCGAATGGAGTACAAAAAGCGGTCTTTGGTCGATCGGATTCAGAGACAGGGACCTGATTGTACCCGCTGGCTAAGTCCAACGTGGAGAACCAGCGAGCCCCTGTCAACGAATCCAACGTCTCCTCGATCCTTGGCAGTGGAAAAGCATCCTTACGCGTCTTAGAGTTAAGTTGCCGGTAGTCGACACACATGCGGAGGCTGCCATCCTTTTTTTTAACTAACACGATGGGTGACGCGTAAGGGCTACAACTCTCTCGGATGATTTGGGAGTCCAGCAACTGGTTAATATGAGTTTTTACTAACTCATACTCCGAAGGTGGAATTCGCCTATAGCGCTGTCGGACGGGAACGTCATCAGTTAGTGGGATCTCATGGGACAATAATCTAGTACAACCCAGATCTCCCTCATGCATTGAAAACACATTCTGGTATTCTAGAAGTAGGGCCTTAACTTGTAACTGTTCCTCGACCA